GGTCAACTTCAAAAAACAAAACAAAACAAAAAGACAAAGACAATGACTAAAATTAAACAAGAAATAGTTCTAAGAAAAAAGAAAATGCCCATAAGGGGTGCTTCCTCACTTCCCTTCTATTTTTTCTATTTTTTTTTTTTTTTTGGGGGGGATTTTTTTTTTTTTTTTTTATAGGGGAGAGAGAGACATAGAGACAGAAAGTGAGAAATCACCCCCTGGGGGGATGGCCACGCCGCAATCCCTTCTCCTCCATTCTCCTCTTGGAATCTTGGGCACGCACGCACACGTGCCCGGCGTGAGTTTAAGCCACCAGGTCTGGGACTCGAACCGTGGTCAACTACATGGGAGTCCAGCAACATAGCCATTACGCTAACTGCTGGTCCCGTGCATCTATTTTTTTTAAGAGAGATTTTGCTATAGGGGGTGTGAACTCACCAGAGAGAGACAGAGAGACAGAAAGCGAGAAGTCACCTCCCATGGTGGCTGGCCATGCCGCAATCCCTTCTCCTCCATTCTTCTCTCGGGATCTTGGGCACGCACACGCGCCGGTGTGAGTTTCAAGCTACTGGGTCCGGGACTTGATCCATGGTTGACCCTGTAGGAGTCCAGCGACATAACGATTACGCCATCTGCTGGTCACTGTCTTCTTCTTTAGTTCGTCAGTCTCCAATCCCAACTCTGCCGCTTACTAGCCATTTGATTTGGGCGCGTTAACCTCTCTGCGCCCACTCCCTCCTGTGGGAATGATGTTTTCACGGGCTGTAACTAGAGGCCGTAATGTGAGTGCCCTTGGCAGGGCACTTGGCAGATGGTAGGAGCTTGAGAAATAGGAGGGGTTGTATTTTTATGGAAAACTTTTAGAATTCTAGAAAAATTAGGCATGCTTCCCCTTAAAGTTTATTTTTTCCATGAGCATGTGCTGGCATGGGAGAGAGCCTGAGAGAGAGATGGGCACTCCCTACAAGGTGCCCAGGCCGCGATCCGCCCACAGCGTTGGCCAGCCCCAGACCGTGGGCATGGGCATGTGTGTGCTCAGCAAACTCAGGTCTCCAGACACGAACCTGGGACCTTCCCGTACAGATCAGTCTCGAGTGTCACGTGTTTCTGCCGCGCCACTGTCCAGCCCCACTGTCCCCTTTCGGGTTACAAGAGCTGCATACCAGACTGTTAGCCTTTCCACCTGGCCGCCAGGAAGCCCAGGGCCGAATCTGTAGCTCGGCTCCGCATAGCTCGACCAGCCCTGAGGGCTGACCTGTGGGCACTCCCCTCCCTCAGTCCAGGCCTTTCCTCTGGTCTCTCAGCTCTGCTGCCTCTTGCTAGGCGCCATCTTAAGATCCCGCTGGGGAAGAGGCCGTGCACAATGAGGCAATTCCCCCATGCTATCCTCTTCAGGGCCAAGAGCCTGGCTGGCAGAGCTTGGCTGGCTCCATGTTCCCATCCCCAGAGGAGGCACCATCTGTCACCAGCCCTGGCACTGAGCCCAGTGGCCCCTCGGAGCCACCAGGAGCAGGCAGTGTGTCGGCAGAGCTGTCCAGCCCATGGGCTGCTGGGGACTCAGAGCGGAGTGAGTGGCTGGCGTCTGTCGGGGGCGGTGTTGTGGTGGGCAGGAGGGTCCGGGCTGGGGTCCATCCTCCTTCCTCCCAGCAGGTACTGACGCGCTGACAGACCCAGTCACGGACCCTGGGCCCAACCCCTCCTCTGACACCGCCATCTGGCGCCGCATCTTCCAGTCGTCCTACATCCGCGAGCAGTACGTGCTCACCCACTGCTCTGCCAGCCCCGAGCCGGGCCCGGGCTCCACCGGCAGCAGCGAGTCCCCAGGCTCCCGGGGCCCTGGCTCCCCAGAGGGCAGTATCCCCCTGGATCCCCCGTCTCAGCAGGGCTGCCGCAGCCTGGCCTGGGGAGAACATGCAGGCTCCCGCTCCTGTCCTCTGCCTGGGTCCCAGCCAGCTCCACTCCAGGTGAGCCCGCTGATCGGTGTGCCCGGTGTGCACCGGCTGTGCCAGGCTCAGGGTTCGCTACTAAGCCGTTGGAGAGACGGGTGGGGAATCTATACCGGACCCCACAGAGTAACCAGTGATGAGCGCAGGGACCTGCATTCTGGGGGCAGCACTGAATGAGAGAGTCAGAAAAGTAGGAGCCAAATCTTTTTTTTTTTTTTAGAATTACTTTATTTTTTTTTCTTTTTTTTTTTTTTTGAGGGGTATAGGGTGTGTATGCTCACCAGAGAGACAGAGAAACAGAAAGCGAAAAATCACCTCCTGGGGGGATGGCCACACTGCAATCCCTTCTCCCCCATTCTCCTCTCGGGATCTTGGGCACGCACACACATGCACCCGGTGTGAGTTTAAGCCACTGGGTCCAGGATGCGAACTGCAGTCGGCTACATGGGAGTCCAGCAACACAGCCATTATGCCAACTGCTGGTCCCAAGAATTATTTTTTAACTTTGTCTCTATATTTTACTTTGGCCAGAGAGGGACAGAGTGGGACAGAGAGGAGAAAGAGAGAGAGAAAGAGAGAGAGACTGAGAAAGCAAGCTGCCAGGTCTGGGACTTGAACTGCGGTCAGCCACATGGGAGTCCAGCACCCCTAACCACCATGCCACCTGCCGGCCCCCACATCTGTTAAATAAGAAGTTTGCCAGGCAGAGGGAGAAGACAGACAAAAACAGAGACAAGCCACCCCCGAGGGGGAGGCAGGAAGTACAGTGAGAGGACACTGGGAAGGGGCCATGGGCAGAGGTCCTTACAGGCCACAGGAGCGGGGCCGTCCTCCTGAGGGTGGTGAGCGGCCGCGGGGTCTGAGGGGCATGTGGCCGCCAGCTGGTGTGCAGGTGTCACAGCCAGGAGCTCTGCACCTTGACCACTGCACCACATCTCACACGCAGGTGGGGGCCCTGAGTGCGGAGGCGCTCGGCCGTCGGCGCAGAGTGGCTCTGGCTGGCCGAAGCCTCTCATCGCCCCCAGGTCGGGCAAACCCTGTCCCTGGCCGACCTCGGCACCCCTCTCTGAGTGCAGCACCAGAGGGGCCCAGCCCTGAGCAAGGTGCACAGCTGGGACAGGGCCTGGATGACTCAGGTAAGGACTGGCGGCAGCTGGGTTCAGGCACCAAGGAGGCCTTGTGGGATGGAGCCTGGGACACCGCACTGCCCATGTCCTGGCCTCGTCTCTCCCCAGGAAACCTGCTCTCCCCAGCCCCCATGGACTGGGACATGCTGATGGAACCACCCTTCTTATTCACGGCTGTGCCCCCCAGTGGGGAGTCGGCCTCTCCCTCGGTGCCGCTGCCTCCCCAGGCCCCACGCTGCCATGTGGTGATCCGGGCCCTGCGCGGGGAGCAGCCCATGTGCTGGGAAGTAGGCATCGGTCTGGAGACGCTGTGGGGGCCTGGGGGTGGCTCCCAGGCTCTGCTGCCCCCTGTACAAGAAGCCGCCTGGGACCAAGCACTGCACCGGCTAACAGCAGCCTCTGTGGTCCGGGACAACGAGCAGCTTGCTCTCCGAGGAGGGGCCGAGACCACAGCAGACCGCAGTGAGTTGCTGTTGGGCCAGCAGGAGGGCAGGGGCAGAAAGCAGCAGAGGTACAGGTCCAGTGGTCGGTCACTCTAGTCCACACCTGTCCACTGAAGCTTGCCACACCAACAAGATAAAAAGTAAGCAGAGCAATGTGAAAATAGGAAGAAACTGTGAATGAGGTTATATTAAAAACACACTCCAGGGATCAGCAGATGGCATAATGGTTACATCGCTGGACTCCCACATAGTTGATCAAAGTTCAAGTCCCGGACCAGGCGGTTTGAAACTCACACTGGGCGCATGTGCATGCGTGTCCAAAATCCCTAGGGTAGAATGAGGAGAAGGGAATGCAGCATGGCCACCCCCCCGGGGGTGATTTCTCGCTTTCTATCTGTGTCTCTGGCAAGCGCACACACCCTATAGCAAAAATCTCGCAAAAACAAAACAAAAACACACATTCCATGGGTCTAGCCAGTGGCCTGGTTGGTTAAGGCGAATGGATCCCACATGGCTGACTGCATGGTTTGGGTCCTGGACCCAGCAGCTTGAGAAACATGCTGGGCATGTGTGTATGTGCCCACAATCCCGAAAGGGAGGAGGAGGAAGCACAGCATGCCATCCCCAGCGGGTCCTTCCCCACTTCCGTTTCCAGCCAGTGCATGTGCCCTCTGCCAAACTAAAACGACAAACCCCTTTGAGGCCGTGAGCTCTTTCAAGCCGGGGGCCCAAACATGATGGCTGCCTAGTGCCCACACAGAGGGAAAGCCGGTCTCGTAATCACTCACAGTGCCTATGACATAAACAGACTTCTGGCATTTCAGAAGACTAGTAAAATTAAACAGAGTCGAAATCCCAATTCCTTAGTTGCACTGGCCACACAGGGGCTACTGCTACCACGTGGCTAACCGCCCCCGACCGGCGCC